CTTAAATTAGCAGATGACTCTGTTATTGTGAGTCTTCTGAACGGTGATGAAAGCATGGTCCTGTTGTTGAGGACATGATACAGTGGTGTGACGACTCATTCCTGCAGCTGAATGTTCTTAAGACTAAAGACATGTGTGTGGATTTTCAGAGGAAAGTCTCATCACCTCAAGCTTCAGTGATCAAAGGTCAAAGAGTGGAGCTCGTCCAAAGTTACAAGTATCTGGGGACATGGATCGACAACAGGCTGAACTTCAATGAAAACACAGATGTTCTGTGTAAGAAAGGGCAGCAGCTTCTGTTCTGCCTCTGGAAACTGGCCTATTTCCAGGTGGACGGGACGATAATGAGACTGTTTTACAAATCTTGTGTTGAGTCAGTTTTATCTTTTTCCATGTTGAGTTGGTTTGGTAACCTCAATGTCAAAGGGAAAAAGTCACTCAGCAGAATAGTTAACCTGTTCACTGGTCAGGTGACAAGGAGGGCTCTGAGGATTCTGGGTAATGAGGCTCACCCTCTTCATGAAGAGTTTAGTTACCTGCCGTCTGGTTCCAGACTCAGAACTCCAATGATTCGGAGCAATAGATATAAACACTCTCTCTCTACACTAAACTCAAACCAGAGACGGAGGAAATAGGGGTTGAAATTTTTGCTTGAGGGGGACAGTTTTTGTCTTCTTTTTTTATTCTGTTTTTTAACTGCCATTGACCTGACTGGAAGACTGTATGTAACACACGGCCCCCTAAGACACGAAAACCCAGGAGCAGAGACGCCAGGAGAATGAAAAATACTTCCAAGCCTTTATTTGGCAAAAACAAAGTAGCAAACTAGGTAGCACTCCAGAGCTCAGAACATGAGGGAAACAAAGACAATCTGGCAAAGACCAAAGGAACAGGTGGGGTGATATACAGAGTAATCAAACACAGGTGCAACACATTAGGGCGGGGCAAACAAATCACAGGCAGGAAACAGGGAGTGATGTAAATCTAAAGCATAGCGAACAGGTAAGTATTTCAAAATAAAATGTCCAATAAACCAGGGGTATGACACCACCCCCCACCTAAGGGACGGCACCAGAAGTCCCAGAGCGAGCACAAAACTCCCGGACGAGCTCAGGATCCAGAATGTCCCGGGCGGGCACCCACGACCTCTCCTCAGGACCGTATCCTTCCCAATCGACGAGATATTGCTGGCCCCGACCCCCGCGGCGGACAGCCAGGAGACGTCTCACAGAGAAAGCAGGGGCACCATCCACGACACGGGGGGGCGGCGGGGGCCTGGAGGGGGGAACCAATGGGCTGGATATGGCGGGCTTTATCTTAGAGACGTGGAATGTAGGATGGACTTTCATGTTACGTGGGAGCTGGAGCCGGACAGCGACAGGACTGATGACCTTGGAAATGGGGAAGGGACCCACAAACCTGGGGGCCAACTTGCGACTTTCAACTCTCAAGGGGAGATCCCTCGTAGAGAGCCAAACCTTCTGACCCACCCTGTAACAAGGGGCGGGTGTGCGATGCCGGTCAGCCGCTTTCTTGTAACGGGCAGAGGCTTGAACAAGGGCGGCACGGGCCTTCCTCCAAGTGACGTGGCACCGACGGACCAGAGCGTGAGCAGAAGGGACAGTCACCTCGTCCTCAAGGTCTGCAAACATAGGAGGTTGATAACCATTGACACAGTGAAATGGGGACATGCCAGTAGACGAAACAGGGAGAGAATTGTGTGCGTATTCAATCCACACCAGCTTATTGCACCACTGAGAAGGGCTTTGAGACACCAAACACCTTAATCCAGTTTCCAGTTCCTGGTTGTACCGCTCAGTCTGACCATTAGACTGTGGATGATAGCCGGACGACAGGCTAACAGACGCACCAATAAGTCTGCAGAACTCCTTCCAGAAGCTGGATGTGAACTGAGGGCCCCGGTCACTGACAATGTCCTGTGGCAGACCATGCAGACGAAAAACATTGGACAACAGAAGCTCCGCAGTTTCCTTGGCAGAGGGGAGTTTGGGCAGTGGGACAAAGTGTGCCATCTTTGAAAAGCGGTCAACCACTGTCAGAATGGTGGTGTTACCTTCAGATGGAGGTAACCCAGTAACAAAGTCCAAGGAGATGTGAGACCAAGGGCGTTTGGGAATCGGAAGAGGCTGGAGGAGGCCAGAAACTGGGTGTCTGGACGTCTTGCTCCGGGCACAAGTTGGGCAAGCTGCAACAAACTCCCCCACGTCCTGCAACAGAGAGGGCCACCAAAACCTCTGTTTAATAACAAATGCAGTGCGACTCACCCCTGGATGACAGGTAAACGGAGAATTATGGGCCCATTGGAGGACACGAGAGCGAAGAGGAGCAGGGACAAAAAGTCGGTTACGGGGACAGCCCGCTGGCGTCTGGATGCCCTCCTGGGCTCTTTTAACCTCTCTCTCCACATCCCAGGTGATGGCACCGATGACACATGCAGAAGACAGAATAGTCGTGGGCTCAGAGGCGGAAGAAGCAGCTTCAAACTGACGGGACAGGGCATCAGGCTTGACATTCCTGGAACCTGGACGATAGGACAACGTGAAGGAGAAGCGATTGAAAAATAGAGCCCACCTGGCCTGGCGCGAGTTGAGTCTCTTGGCGGTCCTAATGTATTCGAGATTCTTATGGTCCGTCCAGACTAGAAACGGCTGTGCCGCGCCCTCGAGCCAATGCCGCCATTCTTCCAGGGAGAGTTTAACAGCAAGAAGTTCTCGGTTCCCGACGTCATAATTCCGTTCTGCGCTGGAAAGCTTCTTTGAAAAAAAAGCACACGGATGTACCTTGTTGTCCTCGGGGTTGCGTTGGGAGAGAACTGCTCCCACTCCCACACTAGACGCGTCCACCTCCACAATAAACTGCAGCTTAGGATCTGGCAAGGTTAGTATAGGAGCAGTGGCAAACCGTTGCTTGAGGTTCCTGAATGCGTCGTCAGCCTGTTGAGTCCACTGGAACTTAGGAGTGGAAGAGGTGAGGGCATGCAACAGTGTAGCAACACAGCTGTAGTTCCGTATGAATCGCCTATAAAAGTTCGCAAAGCCCAAAAAACGTTGCAACTGTTTGCGATCAGAGGGGACAGGCCAATTAGTCACTGCACTGACCTTAGACGGATCCATCCTAACACCACCAGTATCAACAATGAACCCCAGGAAGGATACGCTCTGCTGGTGGAAGTCGCACTTCTCCGCTTTGACGAATAGTTGATTCTCCAGCAGCCGCTGCAAGACTTGACGGACGTGCCGAACATGCTCCTCCTCGGACTTAGAGAAAATAAGGATATCGTCCAAATAAACAAACACAAAGTGGTTAAGCATATCACGAAGCACGTCATTCACGAGGCACTGAAACACTGCAGGGGCATTGGTGAGTCCGAAAGGCATGACCAGATACTCATAGTGCCCGCTGGGTGTGTTAAACGCTGTCTTCCATTCGTCGCCCTCTCTTATGCGTACAAGGTGATATGCGTTCCTTAGATCCAATTTAGTGAAAATAGTGGCACCTTGTAGCAGTTCAAAGGCGGAGGAAATTAAGGGGAACGGATACCTGTTCTTGATGGTTATGTTGTTCAGGCCACGGTAGTCGATGCACGGACGCAGTGTAGTGTCCTTCTCGACGAAGAAGAAACCCGCTCCAGCTGGAGATGAGGAAGGCCGAATGATACCCGCATCCAGCGAGTCTTGGATGTACTGGTCCATTGCCTCTCTCTCAAGAGGAGACAATGAGTAAAGGCGACCCTTGGGTGGTGACGAACCAGGGAGGAGGTCAATAGAGCAGTCATATGGCCGATGGGGGGGAAGCGAAGTGGCTCTGGCCTTATTGAACACTTCTTTAAGGTCCAGATACTCCGAAGGAACCTTTGCGAGGTCCGGGTACTCTGGCGATGCAGCAGCACTGTTGGAAAGAACAGAGGAAGAGGCGGACAAAAGACAAGAGGCATGGCAGTTATTGCCCCATCCCACGATTCTGCCAGTTGACCAGTCAATATGAGGATTATGTTTGACAAGCCATGGGTAACCAAGGATTAGCGGAAACTGGGGTGAATCAATAATGTGAAAATGAAGTGTTTCAGAATGGTTACCTGACAGGTTGAGGCTCAGAGGAGGAGTCTGGTGGAGTACCCTGCACAGCAGCCGGCCATCCAGAGCATGCGCTACCAACGGCGATGACAGCAGAATAGGCTTGAGTTGGAGCTGATGGGCTAGATTCTTGTCCATGAAATTTCCATCAGCCCCAGAATCAATGAAGGCAGAAAGTTCCAGGGACAGGGCAGTGGTAGTTAACCGGACGCAAGTAACTGAACGGGACTTGGAGGAAAAGGAAGTTCGGCTCACCAGCAATCCTCCTTTCACTGATGGGCCCGACCTTTTACTGGACAGGAGGCTAGGACGTGGCCGACTTTACCGCAGTAAAAGCACCGTCCCTCTTGCTGACGACGTTGGCGCTCTTCGGGTGTTAGATGGGTGCGGCCCACCTGCATGGGTTCATCAGCACTCACCGGAAAGGAAGATGGCAAATCATGTTTGAGACCCGGACTAGAGAACCGGTCCGCATGTAGAGGCAGTACGGGCCGGCCCATGTCCAGAAAACTCTTACACCGCAGCTTTTCTCTTCTTCTCTCTTGTAGTCGATTATCTATCTTAACAGCAAGCGCCACTAGGGAGTCAAAGTCCTCTGGGAGATCTATAGGAGCAAGGTGATCCTTCACCTCATCAGAGAGGCTATGCAGAAAAGTGTCGCAAAGAGATGAGGAGTTCCACTCACTGTCAGCAGCCAGGGTGCGGAACCGAATAGCATGATCCGACACCCGAGATGGTCCTTGTTTGAGAGCTAGTAACTCACGAGCTGCCTCACGACCAGGTGTAGAACAATCAAAAACCTTTCTCAGGGTGTCCGTAAATGCTCTCGCAGTAAAGCATACCTCGGATTGTTTCTCCCACTCAGCTGTGGCCCACTCACGTGCTCTTCCAGTTAGATTTGTGATAATGAAGGCCACACGGGAACGCTCAGAGGCAAATGACGTGGGCTGGAGATCAAACGTCAAAGAGCAGAGCGTCAAAAATTACCTACAGGTCCCAGGGCTGCCGTCGTACTTCTCTATGGAAGGAGCCCGTGGTTCAGACCTTGGATCCAGTGCAGGGGCGGCGGGCTCTGGTGCTGGTCCACGAGCTGCCTCAGACGAGTGAGAAATGGTGGCTGAAGCACTAGCCCCCACCTGAGCCAAGAGTTGTTGATTCTGAACGGTCAAGGCTTGGAGCTGCTGCAAAACACTGGCCTGGAATGAATCATGACGGGCATGAAGATCTTGAATTCCCCCTGCTAATTCAGTGAGCATCGTCTCATGGTTCGAAAGTCTCTTTCCTTGGGTCTGAATAGCAGAACGAACGGCTGCAGTCTCCGCTGGGTCAGTCATGGCCAGATTGTACTGTAACACACGGCCCCCTAAGACACAAAAACCCAGGAGCAGAGACGCCAGGAGAATGAAAAATACTTCCAAGCCTTTATTTGGCAAAAACAAAGTAGCAAACTAGGTAGCACTCCAGAGCTCAGAACATGAGGGAAACAAAGACAATCTGGCAAAGACCAAAGGAACAGGTGGGGTGATATACAGAGTAATCAAACACAGGTGCAACACATTAGAGCGGGGCAAACAAATCACAGGCAGGAAACAGGGAGTGATGTAAATCTAAAGCATAGCGAACAGGTAAGTATTTCAAAATAAAATGTCCAATAAACCAGGGGTATGACACTGTATATGGACACCTTGTTAGGCTGAATGTATGGGGAAAATGTTTATTCTATGTCTTTTTCTTTGTTTGTGTCCTTGTGCTGTGAAACAAATTGCATTATATTGGAGAAAATAACTTTATGTACTGAAGAGATCGTGACCCGTGTGTGTGTGTGTGTGTGTGTGTGTGTGTGTGTGTGTGTGTGTGTGTGTGTGTGTGTGCGTGTGTGTGTGCTAGTGTGGTAGCCTGGTTTTAGCCATCCATAAACTCCCGTCAATTATTATTTCCCAGGTTATAATTGCGTCCACTTTTGTTATGTCCAAAACGGCTGTGTGTAGCGCTGGAATAATACAGCCGTGAACAAATCTGTGTTTCAGTAGTGCGCCCTCCACTGGACAAACAAGGAACAAAATTGGTACAGTTTAGTGTGGAGTCCGCAATATTTTAGATTTTTTGGTGAAGAATTTTCATGTTCGCATCTGTGAAGGCAAGTTTATATTCTCCTGGACTTTTATTTTATTATCATTAAACCCTTTTTTTTGTGGCATTCCTGCATTTTGGGTGCTTCCTCCACATGACCCATACAAGGCATTCAAATCATTAAAAAGATGAAAATATAAAATCCTGTTTTTAACCTGGATTTAAACGTTATCAGAGAAAAGGCCTGTCTCACACTTTCAGGAGGATTGTTTTAGGTTTTAGCTGCATGAATCTGAAATGCAGCTTCCCCATGTTTAGACCGGGCTGGTTCATATGGGACTAACATGTCACTAATATATTTTGGTGCGAGGCCATGGAGAGACTTGTAACAAGCAGAGCTGTTTTAAAGTCTATTCTCTGAGCCACAGGAAGCCAGTGCAGAGACCTGGGGACTGGACTAATGTGGTCGTACTTCCTGGTTCTAATCACCGTAAACCAAAGCCAATTCCAAGTTTGTGACTTTGAATGTGAAATAATTTCTTAGCCCTGGTTCATCAAATGTCGTGTGTGTTCGCCAAGATCTGTAAAAGTCACTGAGCAAATGTCTAGACACTGTCAATGATAATGGTTCTAATGGTGTTATTATAAAAATAGGTCACTTCAACAGATAAGTACCATTAGAAAATGATTCAAAAACAATTTTCCTTTTACCAAGTCATTTTAAAAAAAGCCGGATCTATTTTACTGCAGTACAAAGAGTCTCACCACTTGTTGAGCAAATCCTTTCAAATGTACGGCCAATAACAAAACATTAGATCACGTAGTAAAATTCATATTTACGTTATACGACTATTTACAGTCTATGTCATATAGATCAGATACAGCACCAATCAGAAAAGGTTTAATTACAATAACAAAAAATCTGATGTAATGGACTGCAGCAGATTTCACACATATCTGCAGCGCAAACATTTAACTTTATTTTGCAGTGTCTCCAGCTCACACTGTTTCGTCCATAATATTATTCTGTATGAATATGTATTTGGAAAAGTTACATCACCTCATGTGACATCATCATTTAGTGGGAGAAAGATATTAGGAAAAAATATAAAACATCTCAATGTTGTATCCATTTCTGTGGACTTCCCCCTCCCCAGACGCTTCTTATGGATCCCAGAAGTGGCCCCATTGTGACGTGTGGCCAGGCCCCGGCGATCCAAGATGGCGCCCTATTCAAATGAATGGTTGTGCTCAGTGGCGCTTTGTGACGGCATGGGCACCGAAAGATTAGCGGAAGTCGCCTGGAACTAGCAAAGATCTATGGGAAACTCGCCCATATTTGGGCATTGTCTGGTCCTCCCGGTTCTGTGCAGTGAATGAGCTCCCATGATGCTTTGCGCCAAATACGCGTGTGTGGGTCTCATGCACGTGCACAGAGGGGCTCGGCCGCGCTCTGACCAATCAGAGCTGATCAGAGCAGCAGCAGGGCGGAGTCAGAGCGGGAAGGAAAGGAGCAGAGTTTGTGGCAGTAAAGTGTGGATTTAAAGCAAACCGAAGGATTTAAGAAGAAAAAAAGTTCAGGACGACAAGGGACACTAAAATCCCCACAAAATCTGATCTTTATGAAAGCTGTAGGTTCTCTGTCAGGTTCTCTGTCAGGTTCTCTGTCAGGTTCTCTGTCAGCTGAGGTCGAGCTGTTTTAGTTTACATTGAGTTCCAGATTTATTTTCTAATGAGTTCATAAAAATCTGTTTTACTACTTACAAGTTGTATTAAAATCTGTAATTTAATGTAAACTTGAGCTCATTGATTCAGCTGTGTATGAATTCAGGCGTAAAAAGTGCTGAGTAGAAACTTAGCGTGACGCTTTTGATATGATAATAATTTTGATTAGTGCGACGGTATGGAGTCCGTAGAGTTGTCACCATTTCATTGGGAAATTTTACACTTTTATTTTTGTTTACAGTACCAATGATCACAATTTCAAACATTTCTCATCTTTTTAAGTGCAGGAACTTTCTAAATTAGTGGCTGACGAAATTCTTCTTTGGCTCTTTGTATACGTTATCCTCAAATAAAGTCATTTTTCTATTTCACCAAAGAAACTTTCTGTACTCTTGCACGGCATCAGCAAGTACAACAAGTTTTGCAAATGTGAGCTGCTCTGTCGGTATCAGAAAAGCCTGATTATGTCTCTCTTTTTCTTCATGGTCGGAAAAACACTTCTCATTCTCAAAGTTTAGACAGAACAATCCTTTCAACTCTTGCCGACTTATAGAGTTGGATAACCCCCTCGGCTCTCTGCTTTAGCGGATTAGCTCACCTGAACCTCCTTTATCCCCAAAGCTCACAAACACCCAAATATGTCCCCCCATTTTTCCATTTGTTCCCATGTGTTTATCTGGCGCCCGGAGACTCCCGCTGCTCCGTCAGTCTGTGGGTGTGCTGAAGGTACATGCATTTTAATAAGAGTTTACCGCGTTCACGAGAAAACTGCCATGAGACGTCAAACTGCGCATTTTCTTTTTTCCTTTCTGTTTTATTTAGAGCCAAACACGAGGAAGCGTGTAAAGTCAACCCCCTCAATTCAGAAACGCATTTTTAAGGAAGACACGCGCTTTTTGCAGAAGAAAACAGCTCTGGCTTGACTGGTTTAGTCTCGTTAAAGTCTTGTTTACGCTCCACATTTAAGGCGGAGACACACATTTAAGGCGTTGTTTTGGTCTGATTTTTTCACTAACAGTAGCTGAGATCACTGCAAAAAATTATTAAATATGAGGTAAAAGTTTCTGAATCGAATGTTTTTCATCATAATTGGGCACGATGGCTGAGTGGTTAGCCCTCTTGCTTCTCATCAATAATAATTAGGGTAAGGTCCTGGGTTCAAATCCTGGTCGGAACAGGGCCTTTCTGAGTGGGGTTTGGTGAATGAATGGTGTTGGGGAGAGAACATTGTAAAGTGCTTTGGGAGACCTTGGTCTGTAAAAATGCACTATATAGATAAAGTACTTACCAACTTCATTTTCCAATGAGAAAAGCAATTTAGTCTTATTTCAAGAACTACGGCTTTATTTCCTCATTCCAAGAAACAGAACATCTTTTTAAAACTATTATTTTTAATTGTCCCATTGGCAAATCTTGTTTTTGAACTTATTTTTAATCACTTTCTTCAGTATTGCACCATAGACAACTACTAGAAAATCTGTAGTGAAAACTTTATTGTCTATTTCTACTGAAGAGGTTTGTATGTTTCATTAAAAAGTCTACATTAAAGGCTGGGGCCAGATGTACAAACAGATTTCCAAGTGAAGAAAAGACAGATGATCATCCAATTGAATCCATACAAATATTCCCAAAGATATAAATATTTTTTAAAAGGACAACTCTATGAAGGAAACCCGAGTGCGTGCAAATGCCCAGACGAGCTTATATCTTGTTATGTGGCTTTTTGCACCGTCATTATGCTAAGTGCAGACCTGTGTGTGACTTGAGTATAGTTTTATAACCTTCCAAATGTAAACAACAGACATTTAGTTTTTATCAAATACAATCTCGGAAATCTCGGGGGCGACAGTGGCTCAGTTGGTAGAACATTGGCCTTTGAGCCTGAAGGTCGTGGGTTCGAGCCCACCTTAAGACCTACTTCACGACTCCCACAGATGACTGCTGTCGTTGTGTCCTTGGGCAAGACACTTAACCCCACTTTGCCTGAAGCTTCCACTGAAAGATCTCAGCTCCTGTGGACTCAGCACCTGCAGGAGGGTCAGTGAGGGGCTGGTGCTGAGTGTACTGGGTGGCATCTCTGGCCACCCCCCCGACCCAGAAATGGATTAAGGGGAAGAAAATGGATGGATGGATGGACAATCTCGGAAAACGATTGTGGGCGCTCGGTTTGTTCGGGAACGTCCCATACCCTCATCTGGAACGTCTTCTCAGCATAAAAGATACACTTCAGACTTGGTTTTGCTTGAAAAAAACGTAAGATGTATGTATTATTTTCAAGCTCGAACCCTGTAAAAGTTTCTATAATGTGGATGAAACTATATTTTAATGAGAGAAAAATGTTATGACTTCATACGTGTTTTTAAAATAATTTTTAGGACAATCCCAGTCGAGGATCTTGGCTCAAACTCCCAAACGTCTGTCTGGCACCATATGGATTGAGCCGTCTCCATCTTGTGCGAGTTGTAAATCTCTCATGTTTCCAGTCGTTCGTCAACATCTGCGTCCTCGATCCTGCAGCAGAAACACATTT